AACAGGCAGGCTATCTGAGTCTGATTTCTCGAGCTAGTAGAGGAGGAATCGTTCTCCTAGGACTAACATTCAGCAGCTATTCTTGTTGACATTTGTGTCAGTGACTCAGGTAGGTTTTTAAATAGCAGTTTAATAGCAACCTCCAAAACCCCTTTTGAATGTTGGAAAACATTTGTCTTAAGTGGTGCAATTAAAGCAAATATTTCATAACATTTATCTGAACTGAGTGAAATTTAATGGAGCATTCCTGGCTGGAACGGACTAGAATAATGTATGCATAACTGCTCGAGATCAAAGAGGGCCAGAAATGCAGGATAATGCTGATGTGTCCATCTTGTGCAATCAGCCTGTTCTGCAAGACTTAACGTTCGCTTTCATAAAAGAGTGAGTTTATCCAGAACATGCTAACATTTGCCCTTCTTCCATGTAATGCGTTCTCTTTTCTTTCCGCACGCTCACGTTTCTCTCAAGGCAGCGAGGCCCAAGGGAAGACAACGGGCATCAGTTGCAGGGGAAGGAGGAGAGAGACCCTGGGGGGTTTAGTCCAGTAGACGCTCTCAGGGCAGCCTGAGCATCACCACCAAATGCTGCCAGAGCTCTGCCACCGTGCAGAAACCATTCAAGAAGTGAAGGAGAGCGCAAGGTTCATCCTGACTCGAGCACAGTGCTTGCAATGCTCGCTGCGCTCCAAGGAGTGCTTATGGGCTTGTGTTGAAGGTCACTCAAAGGCAGGTACATCGCCTCATTTTCCAGGAGTCGGCATGCAACAGGGCTCAGTGGGCTGCGGGGAGAGGGGTGGTTTCAGGGACACCTGGAAATGGTATAGACACACCCAGCGCCCACCAGGCATCCCATCGGGAGCCCATACACCTGCTCAGGCTGCTGCACGCTCAGCATTGTGCTAGGCACAGGCAGCACTATGCCAGGCTCCTGGCATCCAGCCCTTGACTCATTTTGCAGAATGAGAATTAGAAGACAAGTGCAAGATTACGGGAAATTTCTAGAGGTGCTTCCCTAACGAGCGCCGACTCGCCACGAGCGGCAGAATGGATGGAGGAGCCCAGCAAACGGTGCTTCGGTTGGCCGCAGGAGCTCAGAAGGCCAGTCTTGATTTGTGGCTTCTTTTTGGCAAGTTGCTCAAGTGTCCGGTGGAGTCGTTTTGCAAGCGTCTGCAGCTCTATGCACAACTCTCCTGGCAAGGACGCTGTCCTGTTTGCCCCCAGCTTTCATAGATTTCATAGACATCAGGGCTGGAAGGGACCTTGGAAGATCATCGAGTCCAGCCCCCCGCCCAAAGGGCAGGAAGTCAGCTGGGGTCATAGGATCCCAGCAAGATAAGCATCCAGTTTCATCTTGAAGGTGTTCAATGAAGGCGCTTGAACCACCTCCGGTGGCAGGCTGTTCCAGACCTTGGGGGCTCGGACAGTAAAGAAGTTCTTCCTTATGTCCAGCCTGAAACGATCTTCCAGTAGTTTATAACCGTTCAACCTCGTCATCCCTTGGGGCGCTCTGGTGAACAAACGTTCCCCCAGATGCTGGTGGTCACCCCTGATAAACTTGTAGGTGGCCATCAGATCACCCCTGAGCCGGCGCTTTTCCAGGCTAAAGAGCCCCAGGGCTCTCAGCCTGTCATCGTAGGGTCTGCTTCCCTGACCTCTGATCATGCGCGTGGCTCTTCTCTGGACTCTCTCAAGCTTCTCCACATCCTTTTTGAATTGTGGAGCCCAAAACTGGACACAGTACTCCAGCTGCGGCCTCACTAAGGCCGAGTACAGGGGGAGAATGACGTCCCGGGATTTGCTTGAGAAGCATCTATGGATGAAAGCCAGCGTTTTGGTCGCTTTACTAGCCGCCGCATCGCATTGCAGGCTCATGTTCATCTCGTGGTCAATGATGACCCCCAAGTCTCTTTCTTCCATAGTGCTAGCCAACATAGCACTGCGCAGGGGTCCAATGTTGCCCCTGCTTTTCCTCTGGCTCCAGGACTTGGATTGGCCTGGGTATGTACCGGTAATGTAAAAGCTAGCGAGCAAAGCCAGCATTGTTCAACAGAAAGCAGAAAAACGCAGCAGTCTTGCAGCAGACCTGGGTTTTGCAAGTGAGGAAACGACCTTATTTTGCCTTGGGCAGATTGAGTCATAATAGGTAGTGGTGGCACGCTCTCTGAAAGACTGGGAATAATTACAAATACGGCAGATGAGATGCATGCATTTCTTCATCGTGGCAGGACAGAGCCTGGTTGTTTGTGCCACAAACTCGTTCAGATTTTGGAGCCAAAAATAACTGGAGCTGCCTCTGCAGCTTCTTCATGCCATGAGAGTTGTTTTCTTCATCCTCCCTTGGCCTCTGCCACTGCTGAGTGGGATTAGTTCACGCAAAATGTAGATTTTACTTGCTAAGTCTATTAGAAAGGCCGAACTGTTGCTTAAATGCCCGAGCCACCGTTGTCCAGCATATTCTGTCATCGTCTTGAGGCGGCCGAGCTGGAAGGAAGCATCACATGCCGCCTCTGAAAGATGAATTCTGCATTTGACTTCCTGCCCCCACCAAGGCATTGATCTTCTTGAAATAGGTCTGAACGGACTGTGTCTTGCTTCCGGCTGTTGCTCGTGGATCTTCCAGATTGCCACGTGCTCTCATGTACCAAGTTTGGCCAGCGATCGGTCGCGGTGAAGGGACTAATTTTGCTCGCACTTTCCTAGGGCGGCTGGTCCTTGGGGTTCTGCTGCATTCAAAGCTGCCCATGTTGCGGGGGGGGGAAACTTCCCGTGGTGTCTGCTTCTTGCTGGTATCGTGCGTGTGCTGCGCAAGCCTTGCCGCAGCCTCGGAAACCTTCTTAAAGTCCTTCCACGCGTGCTACCTGTTAACATCATTGAGACTCAGAGTGTCTCGATAAGACATCTAGACATTTTAGGACGTGGCTTCAGCTGCTAGCGGGGGATGCGTGGTGTTGGCTTGCAAGGGGAGGACCAGAGCAGGGCGAAGGCAGGGCCTAGAAATGCTAAGCGTTAAATTTGCAGGCAAGGTTCTTTGGGTAGACGTGATATCTTTTATTAGACCAGCTGAGTGGGTTTTTTTTCCCCCCAACTATGCAGTTGGTGTAATAAAAGATATCACATCTTCCCAAAGAACCTTGCCTGCATCCTTCGACTAACATGACTACAACCAAAAGCCCAGCAAGTTTTACATTTCGAGGATATTATAGCAACAGCTCAGACCAGTGTCATGGACCCATTCCTGTTCTGTAGCATTGAAAGCATCACTCTTAATGAGATGAAATAGTTTAGTTTCATGGGGTTTCTTCCACAGCACGTGGCGTCCAGGGTTCCTAAACCTGTCAGATGGGTGGATTGCCATGTGGTCAAGTGGCCCGCGTCTCTGGTTAGGCTTCCTGTCCCTGATCGGTTGTTCGATACGAGCCCGAAGCCTCGGTGACCATTGTCCTTGCGAGGATTTATTGGGGTAGGAAAGGATGAACCGAGTGTCATGAGGGCATGGATTTTTCACAACCAAACTGAGGCATAAAATTGCTGAGTTGGTAAGTAAGTTATCTGTTGGAGCAGAAGAGCCTCTTGCGGGCGGGGCTTGCTATCAGGGCAGGCAAGATGCTGAGCCAAGGACTTTTTTTGGCTGGCGTGAGCCAACAGAACGCTGCATTATTCAGCCGCTATGTAGAGAAGTAATGAAGCTGCTTGCATATGACTGAATAAGACCCGCTGACATCCAAAGCACTAGCTCCAGCCATGCTGGGACGACTTCTTTTATCCTCTGCCAATCGTTAAGCAGGTGAAATTCCTTCAGCGCTCAAACCCCGCTATCCTTTTTGTGCACGCAAGACCAAAGCCTACAAGATGGACCAAAATATTAGTGCCGCGTTGGTGTGTTTTGTCCTTGGAGTAATAGGATTGTCTGAGAGGGTCTCTGCGCTCTTGGGAAAGCGGCGGTATGCAGAACGTAAGTCTGGCCTTATGATTTGAGGCTTTCGCAAGTAAGTTTGCTAAATGGTTCCTGCAAGAATTGAAATCCGAAGCATCTTTCTGATGCTTCTCCCCAGGCTGCGAGCTCCATCGCTTTCCTTTGTTGCACTGACAGACATTTTTATGTTAAAAGGTACAAATGAAATAATGTAGGCCTCTTTTAATGCATGCACATATCCGCGTGCTGCTCTCTAGCCTTTGCAGTTTCTCCCAGCCTGCAAGGAAATAGCACCTCTTATCTTTTTCCAGAAATTTGTAAAAGTATTCACTGGTTAGGACAGGAAGGTTTAAAAAAAATCAAACCCACAGCAGTGTTAATAATTTCTTTGTTTTTAAACACATGATGTGGTTGCAACAAGCAATACATCTTTAATACATGGTGGTGTATTACCACATCATGTGAACCTCTTTGGCAAAAACTAGATCTGTATCTATTTTTCCTAACTATACGTATTCTTATTCTCCCCAAATTCAGGAGGAAACTTTCTGGGATGAGATTCATTAAAGTTTAGTCCCCGAATGTTACAATTTCTGCCTCTTTGAACCTGAGTTCACCCTACCTCTTTATTCATCTGATCTTTCTCTTGCACACCCATATACCTGACGCGCTTGAAGTCTGCTCCTGAAATTCAAAAGCTATCATGAAAAGCAGCAGCTGTGCCGGGGTTCAAAACAGGGTCATGCCACATGTAAAAGCTTGCTATTAAGAGGAGCAGAGAGAGACTTAATGGACGGTTGCCTTAATCTTATTCATCTCTCTTGTTCTGATTTTATTCAGTTATGACAGTATGCTTATTAATAATGATCCTGAAATAGGTCACCCATTAAGAAGCTCTGTTGCTAATTAAATAGGAAATAAGGCTTATTAGATATTTTAAAAGTGAAAATTAGTTTTTAATGAACCCACAGATTAAAGCTGTGGGTCCTGTAGCCATGATGGTACATACCAAAATCGGCCTCTTTGCAGCGAGGAATAGAAGAGTGGTTTGGGGGAAAGCAGAATATGCCGGACAGCCTCGCTTCTCAAAAACTGCAAATGAAAGCTATCTTTTCCGCCAGGTTTGCCAGCCTCGAGGAGCAAGCGTGGCTCTTCACTGTACGGGTGTTGAAAAGGGATTGCAAATGCTTAATGCATCTCATCTTTTGTGTTTTTTCAAAGGGCTCGCACATGAGGCAAAGGAAGGACCTGTACTTTGGTGATGGACAAAGGAAAAAGGACTGGCATGATAAAGAAGCTATAAGGAGGGACTTGGAGCGCACAGGTGTGTAAGACCGTACCCGTTTATTGACAACGGTTCATAAAATAGCACAGGTCCTTCTTCAGCCAGGGGAAGATGGAACGACGTGCTCAATGCCATGACCAGGGAGAGGTTCGGGATACTTTTTCCACATCGCTCTTGCTAGTTCAGAAGTGGTAATGAATAATGAAGCAATTTGGGCAGCCTGTGGTGGTGCTCTGAGGCGAGTGATATTTTAAAAGAGAGAGAGAGAAGAAACAGGCATCTTTCTGAACCGGACCGGTATGGTAGACCCAGGAAAGGAGTAGGAAGTGGGGGACGAATCCTAGGAACACAAGTCCTTATAGAATCTGCTGTTTGCATAGTTTGAGAGTTAAATCCAAATGCTTAACTTCTCTTAACAAAAGGGCTCCAGTGGGGAGGGATGCGATCTATACATTTCCATGTATTTGCACAGACTCTATTGTTCTCGTCATAAGAGCTTTGTCAAGGTTGCTGTTGAATGTCAGCCTCTGTGCTGCGCTGAAGAACGAGGCAAAGATGAGGAATATTTATACCGTATGCATGCACTCGCACCTGTGAACCTGAAGAAACGTTGCAGATCCGATTTTGTTCCCATTGGTCTTGAGTGTCCCTTTAATTCTGGTGTCAGAATGAAGAGCCTAATGCTTCCTATTCTCACGGCCGAGTGGTTTATAGCAAAACATGCTACTGTTTTTTAAAAAAAAAAAGGTAAATTGATGCACTCAGCTTAGCGCTAAGCACGTTTCAGAGCTCACAATCGGAGTTAACAAGCAGTGGTGTTGGAAGTGTTCTCAAACAACAGGAGATGACTGCTTTCCATTTGATTTATGGCTCTGGCTTTGGCCTGTTTAAATACTAATTAACGGTAATGATGCATGTTTGCTTTGTATCCATCCACAGGAAATGGAGAGCAAGGTAAACCATACCCAATGATGGACGCAGAGCGAGTAGACCAAGCGTACAGGGAAAATGGCTTCAATATCTTTGTCAGCGATAGAATTTCCCTTAATCGCTCTCTTCCAGACATCAGACACCCCAAGTGAGTACTGCTCTGCACCTGCATGAGTGAGAGTTGTGTTCCTGTGGGAATTTATTCTCCCTTTCTTATTTTGGACTTTCCTGTGTGTGAGCCTTTCAGAACCGCAGTCCTGCTGCCTGCTATCCTGTTATACAGTGCTGGGCATGCTAATTGAGGCAAAAAAAGAATAAGCACGCTTGCTTGTGGGTGCACCTGGACAGTGCGGATTGACCCCAGAAAACCTACATTTATATGCAGAGCAAATGCTCCGTGAGCAGTAGTAGTAGCTTTCCCAGCCACTTGCCAGTACATCTCAACCCTGACCTGGAAGTGTCCTGCCCTTCTCTCTTAACCTTGAGGTCTTTTTTGGTGCCAGTTTAATTTTTGAGTCTACTGAAATGGCTAGCAACTGCAGCAGTTACACAGGATAACTTCATTTTTCCACTGTCCAGTGGAAAGTGTGTTTAAATGCCTGGCTCACTTGACAAATGACCCTGAAGAGCAGTCGAATAATGACTCTATCACTGATTACCTGATCTAGTTTTGCCCAAGTGACCAGTTGGAGGTGAGCTGCAATTTTATAAACCATTAATCCCCTGTGTAGTTGTACCATGATTCGAGTTTCCCAGCCTAGATGCATTTATCTAGGAGAGGACACTAATTTTTTGGAACGTGTCAACAAGATGTGAGCGATGTCATGAACTATGTTTAAAGGGAATTTGGTCAGAAGTGCCAATGGTTTTATAATGACCTTTTTCAGAGATTGTAAAGCTGGCCATCAGAACTGGTTCCAGCTGAACTGTTTGGATTTGAACTCCACATGTTAGGACGTCTTTTCCTTTTCATGAGTCATATTTGACTTTGAACTTAAAGGAGATTCTCCTTGGCAATTGGAATAAGTCTGGAGTGAGGATTTAAACCTTTTCTACTCAAAACCCTGCAGTGCTTTTTAATTGTAGAGTGCATGTGGTTCTTAATCATCTGAAGCTACCTTTAGATACCGAATGCAAATTTCATCTATGAAAAGTGGCTTGGGGTTGTTTTTTTTCTCATCCTGATGGCAGTAATTTCATCTAAGACATCTATACTTGAAAGCAAATTAGACTTGAGGTTTTTAAAATTTTTTTTTTTCTTTCTCAATTTTATCTCACTAAATCTTAGGCTTTTTCAGGCACCAATCAGAGCAAAAATGAGCAGCCTGTGCAGATGCCTTCCTCAAATTATAAGTGTAAAAAGAAATGTGTTAATCCAATCCCCCATAACCCATCATTTTGGGAGTGCAGCTCAAGTATTTGAAAGGAAAGGGATCAAATGGAGCATGTTAGGAGATCTGGTCTGGTCGATCTACTTTGAAAAACCCCTGAGTGAGCTTCAGCGAACTTGGACTCTGCTCAGCTCCTATTTATTTGGGATTGTTTGGGGCTCGGAGACTTTCTCAGTGTTAGACGATGCCAATCTCCCTTCACCTGACGATTCAATATATAGGCTCATCCCTAATGGCGCGTAAGGGGCTGATGCTGACTCCTCACTACTATTTCCTTTCCTTTCTCTGTTTAAGATGTGGAAGCTCCAACTCCAATCCCCAGTTGAAATTAGTAAGTGAAGTGTCTTGGTCTCCAGCTGTTTAAGCTGTCACAAGTGATGCCAGGGTAGGGCATTCAGTTATCTTCACCATGAAACAATCCCGTCTCTTTCTTCAGTCCCGTCTTACTTGCTACTTATATCCTCCTCGGGTAATAAGGGAGGGAAGGACCCGAAGGACAAAAATGTCATCCTAGAAGCAGATCCATCCCGTGCACTGAATAAGACAGGGATCCCTTAGGGAGAAAATATTTAGTAATCATGTAAGTAGTCAGTGCTATATACTGCAAGAACAACTTGGAAGGGATGGGGGGAGAATGAAGCTGGTGCAAGCGTCCCTGATTCTGTTCCCTCCAAAGTCTAGTGTTTCACTTAGCAATCTTCATCATCTTTTTCAACTAACATTTTGTGCTTTGCAGTATTTACTGCACGGAAGCCTGTAGTGACAGGACGATATATCTGATCCATTGAGCAGGGTTAAAACAGAGCTAAAGTAACAGGTTAATAATTGAAAAATCAAGCTGGAAGTAGCACCGAAAAGGGGACAGTGCCGCAAATCTGTGCAGCATTTTATAAATACTTAATCTTCCATATGCAGACCAATTCAGGGCAGCTTTGCAAACTTCAGACAGAAGCAGTGTCTGAGTTAACTGGAAATGCTTCCATTCATCACAATATAAGACTTCTGATCCCTGCTGAAGGAAACTTCGACTGTCAGCAGTTGGGTGACCAATCCTTCGTTTCAGCAAAAATGCACCGCTACTGCTCTTGTGCACAGAATTAAAATATGCCTTTTTTTTCCCTATTGCTACTGCCAGTAGCAAACAGTATTTTTGTACAGAGTTGAAGTGTAGTTGGAGGATGTGAGAGATCTTAATGAAGTTGAGCCAATTTTTCCCACCCTCCCCCAAATCGACCATCTGTAGTCTTCCCTGTCTGCAGCGTCAGTAGAGAAATGTCTCTTACAAAGCAAAGACTATTCCAGGAGGATGACTGATGTGCAGGCTTTGCTTGTACCCAAACTATGAACGCTTAGCAAAGAGTGAAGGGACAGGTTTTTCTAATGCTGGGGAATTTATTGTCGCTCACAAAGTTGCAATCCTTGAATCTTCTACAATTATGCAGCAAATCGTTTATCTCATGCGAGTTGGCACGCAGACCAACCGAGAGTTTCACGAGCTGTTATAAAGACGAAACCTTCTGACCTATGCTTTATAGTCATCGCTTGTCATCGACAGCAGAGCGATTGTGTTAAGACCATAGATACGAATATATTAATACAACAGAGATGAATGAATGGAATTCATTCCCCAAAGGTTTCAGTTATGTTGCTGTCGCTATCTACAAAGCCACATGCGAGTCCCCAAGAGGCGATTCAAGCATTACTCAGGTACACCATCAATTTTTGAGCGTTCATTGCTCTGTCTGTGTTTGTGAGGAATGATGCTGAGCACTCCCTCCCTGTACTCTGCACTGCTGCCAGCTAGCCTGCTTAATGATGGCTGTAATGACAAATGTGTTGACGCTGGCCTCAGAAGCACTCTTCAAAGTGGCACCTCCTCCTCCCACCCAGAGGCTCCAAGCTGCAAGAGAAAGAGATGCAATTATTTTGTTGCTTGTCTATCCGTTGGTGGTAAAAATTCACGGCTTTCCCCTGAGCCTGTCAGAGCCCATCGGCCCTTCATGCTGCAAGTTCGATTAGGTTGCTGTGCAGCTTAGCGCAGGCGGCCTACAGACAAGACCCTAACAACCTGAGAGCCTGTCTTGTCTCTCCAGGTATTAGCAATGCCACGTTGCTTCTAGTAAGAGGAGCAGGTAGACTTGATGCCCAATCCCTCAAGCCCCAGCTGAAAACCGAGAGCAGCAGAGAACCCTGCTCCTCTTTGCAAGCCAGTCTGATCATTTAAACACAAGGAAGAGGAAAACTGAAACAGACCTTTCTGATCAGGAGGAAACAGCTGGTTGAGCGGGCCCCGACAGCCCTTGGTAGCAAATCCAGCTTTTTGGAATATGTTTGCAGATGGAAAAAGGTTGGGTAATAGGTGCTGTGGTTGGGTGACTAGAGGGAACGCATGGGTTGCTTTCACAAGGGTTTGTGTTTAGCCAGGTTTTCACACTACCCTGGAGGTATTTGTCACCTTTAGTTTAATCATAGGTATCCTTTTGAATGGCAAAAACTGGTCCCTGTGGCTGTTTATAGGAATGCATTCCTACAGAACACTACCCCAAGTTGGATATATAGATATAGATCTGTATCTATATATATTTATATTCATATTTAATTTGGGATAGTGTGTGTGTGTGTATACATATGTGTGTGTGTGTGTATGTATATAGTGTGTGTGTATACATATGTGTGTGTGTGTGTGTATACATGTGTGTGTGTGTGTGTGTGTGTGTGTATAGTGTGTGTGTGTGTGTGTGTGTGTGTGTATTGCTCTACCTTTGGAAAGCAGCTGCTCAGGAAAGTCTCCATCCAGCTTGAAATGGCCAAGTTTCAGCTAGGTGAACATTAAAAGCAAAATTATAACATGGTATTAAGCCTCTGAAATGCAGGCCCTTTAAATTTGGGCAGCACTGAGCTTCTCAGCCTTTGAAATGATTCTTTTAGAGAAGTTGCTCTTTAAAACTTAAAGCAGAGGAACCAGAAAGTAGGCAAGAGACTTTTGTGTCTTGAGCTATAAAAGAAGTTACCTTTTAAAAGCACTTTTGGCCAGTGATGAGCTATCTTTGCACCTTACATTTTCTCAGGTTAATGCCACTTAATTTTATGGAATGGGTACTTTTAGTCTGTTACTATAGAAAATTCACCACTGACTGATGAGAGTGGTGCTTTATGGGTAAATATCCTAGCTATAATCGGGTGTTGAGGATTTATCCCAGTAATTGCTGTTGCGGTTCTGGTGAATTTTTTTTGTTTAGCTCATTGATACCTTTTTTAATCCATGTCTAGCTGCAAGAACAAGCTGTATCTGGAGAAGCTCCCAAACACTAGCGTGATAATCCCGTTCCACAATGAAGGATGGTCATCTCTTCTCCGGACAGTGCATAGTGTCCTAAATCGCTCCCCGCCTGAGCTGATTGCGGAGATTGTGCTGGTGGATGATTTTAGTGACAGAGGTACAGTACTATCTCCCCTTACACCTACCTGACAAAATTCATAGAAGTATATTGTAGGGAAGCAGTGTTGATATTTGCTGTGGACCAAGTGTTAGGTTTTCAGTGTCCCCTGTGATATTTGCTGGTGGCATTGAGTCTTAAACCAAGGCAAAAGTTGCATTTCCTTTTGCTTCTGCATGGCTTTAGTTGTTGATGGCATCAGAAGTGCTTCACGGTGCTGCATACAAGCTTGGTTCATTGCTACGCAGAATAAGATGCATGCACATTTTTTTTTTTTCAGCGCGTGTTGGCATGTATGATGGAAGATCTGCTCCTACGCACTTCACATGCAGTTCCTTAAACATTGATTCCCTGTTTGCATTTTGAGTTTTTTCTTCCCCTGTACAAGGGATTTGCGGTTTTGGTGTGAATTTTTGAAGCCCATTTGCCAGGATCAGTCTTTGTGTGTTAACCTCTGTAGAAGCATTTGGAAAATCCACAACACGCATGTCTTGGCTTTGTATCCTCCACACTTGCCTCCATTTCTTCCTTACCCTTACTCCTCTTCCAAGTGCACAAAACCTCAAGGAATGGAGATTGCACTGTCTGAGAACATTTGCTAGGGTTGGTTAAGTGTAGCCCGTAGGTTGGGACTGACCTCCCACTTGCCTATGGCATGCAAGTGTCTTGTCTCGGCAAACTGCTCAGCAAGAATTTCACAGTGCAATCCTAGGGTGAACAGTTGCTTTCTTCCCATCTTCATTTCTACAGACCCGTAAAATTGTTTCCTGCTTTTGCCCCTAATTGAAGTACGGAGAGGCAGATTTGACACCTTTGGGACGCATAGCCACCGTAAGTTAAGCAAGTGCATATGTGGCACATCACCAGAAAATACAGTGAGCCTTGTGGTTGCAACTCTGGAGCTTAATTTGCAGTTGTGCCAGTCTCATTACAAAAGATCTTATGCTTTCTGAACTGTTTAGGCCACCCCGCGCTATGCTGTACAAATTAAGCTGTAGCTTAAGTAGAAGGGATAAAATAGAGGCTAGTAGCTTCTATGCTTCATGGCATAAAGTGACTACCATAGGAAAGAATTAATTCCCTCACCCTCCAGTGTATTATACAGTTGAAAACCTCACGGAGTTTATACTTACGGATGCATCCAGCATTGTCCATAGTTGGAGATGATAGAGCAGCTTTGTTGGCTCATCTGACTGGTCTACTAATTATTCAGTTTTCTCTATTTTAATTCTTAAAGAAGCTAAAGTCTCTGGCTTATTTGCTTCAAGGTTCTCTTACAGCTCTTCTATACAGATGTGCACAAGGAACGCAGGGCTCTGTGTATGGAGATGTAGTTGAGAGAGATTTCCAAGAGAAAAAATGCTGAGGTGAGAAATGGCTCCTATGCTTCTGAAATTCATGTAAAAAATGCCCTCTGAAACCAGCTGGTGCATAACTGACCTGTCCTGTTGCCCAATAGCTACACTGATTCTTCTGAAGTGCAACTTCCAGCAGCTTGCGAGCATAACATGGTACTTTGACAAGCTCATTAAGCTGTAGTTACATGGCTTCGATGACATTTAAAGCATTTTGAGACTAGGAAGAAAATGCGCTTTCAGTAGGACCTCTCTGCTGCTTTTCAGTCTAGCACGCTAGAGGCAGATTAGTCGTAACCAAACCAAACACCAGTTAGATTTTTCTACTGCCTGGTTAATCTTTGCACAGGAAGATGGCTTCTGTCTAGGATGAAGAACATTTTTGTTTCTCTTCGAAACTTCATTCCTCTGTTCTGCGCAGTGGCTTTTCTTGCTGGCTTCATCTGCTTTGACACCAATTGGTATTCTCCCTTAACCTCCCTGAAATGACTGCCAAATCCCTTCCTCGCTCTTTAAATAGAATGCTTCTGAGGAGGCAAAAGCAGCAACAAATCCTGAAATGGGCAGCTTGGATTCAGTTGTGTGCCTCTGTATTAAAAATTCATCCAAGACTGGCCCTGGGACTGAGCAGTCAAAAAGTGAACAGCTGAAAAATAACCGCTGTGCATCTCTCCAACAAAGCTTTCCCCTTCAAGTGTTTAAAGGGCTGTGTCGCTTCACTGGGCTCAGCCCCAGTCTGAGCACTGACATCGCTACAGGCTTGCCCAAATGTGAAAACGGCTGAGAATCGGAGACCGTGCATCTCGAGACTTATGACAGCTGGCTCGGCTGTGCCAGCACGTAAATCAGTGGGTGAGAGCGGTTGTATGCAAAACCCCCAACTTATTGATCCGTTTTAAATCCGAGCGAATTCAGTCTGCTAAAATTTGAGCCCTCCTAAGAGTTGGGAGCAATGGCTCAGAGCCTTGAATGAGGCAGGTCTGGAAAAACTAAAAGTGACTCTGGTGGCTGTGCCAGCCATTAGCCCCGTGTGCTTCTGCCAGCGCACATCCCTCCTGAATTGCTGCCCTCCTTTTAATGCTGTCGTGATCAGGACTCTCTTGTGAAAAACACGGTATAATTAATGAGTGATCCTTGTTCCAAAAAGCTCACAGCCCACAGAAGAAAGGCACATAGCAGGTGCAAAGAGCAACAGGCACACAGTGGATGTGGAGCTGGCCAGGGGTTCATGCATATTTGTAGGGATTTTTTAAAGAGGATTTTGTCCAGAGGTCACTCCCGTAAGCAGTATAATAAAATACTGCATACTGCACTCTGCAGCCCAATACTTGGGTTTTCTGAACTTGAGAGCACCTGCACACTGTCTCCTTGATTTGTCTTTTAGTAACAGCCCTTTAAAAAGCTGCACAGCTGCAGTGAAGCTGGCTGGGCATGGAGCCCCCCATCCAAGCATTTTGTACTGCGCTGCTGAGCACGGGGCTGTCCCACGCTCACCTGAGCATTTCACTGTTGCTGGCTCAGCTGTGCCATTATGTTAGTGTGAGTTTATCTGCAAAGAAAGATGGCCTTCATTTCTCACTTATTTTTGTACCACTGTTTTTTTCCTCCTCAGCTTCTCCATAGATAAGAAAATCTTTATATTTCAGGATAAAATGCTACAGCAAGAGGGATCCCATTTATGATTAACATAGTTGGTATGGAAACATGGAGAGAGCAGCCACGAGTTATTTTCCCTGCCAGATATTTAAAATATCTGTTTTCATCCATGTTGAGCTTCCAGCTGAAGGAGCGCTTAGGAGTTCCTGGTGCCAGGGTGAGCAGGGAGATGGGGAAGGCGACTGATGAGCTGGCAGAAGTGGTTATGAAATGGAAGAAATACAAATTTGGGTTTAATTGGTAGCTGCCATACTGCGGTCTGCAGCCTGCCATGAGAGCCAACTGCTTTGTCGTGTACTAATGGAGCTCTCAGACTAATGAATCATGGAAGTGTCAGCAGCTATTTATTTCTTAATTTGCTGGGGAGGGAGACAGTTTTGTGACCTTTAGCACTATACATTTTTCAACCCAAAACAGGTTGCTCTGACTGCATCAGGCTTTTTTAATATCTTGCAGGGAAAGCCTTACTAAGCAGGATTTTTTAAATGTTCAATTTCTCACTCCACTACCTCTTTCTTTTGCAAATACAGTGTGCTGTGCTTCTCACCCCTGCTGCTTTCCTATGCCCATAGCATAACGGAGCCGATCAGAAGCTATTCTGATCAAGCACATCAGCCAATAACCCATGGGTTGATCAGGATACTCTCTAAAAAGACGTGTTGTTTAAACAGTCACTGTTGGAAAGTGCGCTTAAATACCTACTGAGGGTTTTACACCATTGTGGGAGGGCCCAGCTTGCTTTGCTGCACTCTTAAGTTGCCGTTCTTGTTGACACAGGGCCTCTCCTTTGGCCTGTTGTGTGGAATTTGTGGCCCTAACTTTCTTCACCAGGTTGTCATGATCCAAAGCGGGATTATGAAACAGTAGTTAAAAACAATTAGTTTAGTCTCTCAACTCTGTTATTGGAAAAATGTGACTTGGAGCTGTTATTTGAAAGATGCTTCTACCTCAGGGGCAGGCAAAATACGGCCCGGGGGCCGGATCCAGCCTGCTAGGCCATTCTGTCTGTCCCGCAGGGCCCCTTAAAAATTTAGAAAACTAGTATTTATTTGCTCCTGGCTGCCTGTCAAAGATGACAGGAGCCAGGGAGCAGTAGGACCCAGGGGACGCCAGTGGCAGGACCCAGCAGCAAGGCCTGCCCAGCCCCACCCCACCCACAACCAGAAGCCCCTGCCTAGCACCACAGAGGAAAATGTGGCCCTTGACAGCTTGCCAAAACTTGGTAAGTGGCCCTCCGCCCGAAATAATTGCCTGCCCGTGTCCTACCTGGACACAGCCGGTTCCTAGCATTTAAACCACGTTCCTGGTAAGGCAACCAGAGCATTATAGCCCTCATGCTGTTTCCTGATGAACCAAGTTAGTATGTCTGTTCCTGAACAGAAAAGAACCCTTTCTTTGGGCATGTTTGCAGTCATTTAGCAAGAACCACGAATGTTTGACATTTAAAGTAGGTTCATTTGCTTCTGTTAGCTGCAATGGAGGAGCGGTAAAATGTTGTTGGAAGATGGGGCCCCAATCTGTCCAGCATACACCTCTCAGCAGACACTTTGGTATTCAGTTGAGTGTGCAGGTAGAGAGACTTAACAGGACTCATGCATTTCCCAGGCCCCGCACACATCCACTTCATTATTGCAGGTTCTCGTAAACCTAATAGCATCAGCCCTTCTGGGTGAGCAGAAAATCCAGATGCCTGAAGCGTGCATCGTGACTTTAGAATTCCTGATCATAAAGCTTAGCTAAGGTAGCTCTACGTGGATTTATGGCTTCATGTTTTAATTTCAACAGTGATTCATTAATTCTGATCTGAGTTAAATTAAGCTCTTTCATATCCTGGCTTGCGGGGCACTAATTACATCCCTGTGAGCCTGTTGTTATCGGAATGGCCCTAAGTCAACCAAGAGTCTCTTTTTCTTCCTCCCCCCTCCTATGTACATCATGCGTCTCCTGGGGACTGTCAGATGTCGAATTTGTTTGCCTTTTGATTGCTTC